TCGACAGGAACTCGGACCACCACTGGGCCGTGGTGTCCATGAAATCGGCTGGGTATGTGCAGAAAATGCCGGCGGTGGAGGTCTCGAGACCGACGGTGCGGATGCCGCTGCCGCCCTCGAACTGGTCAATAGCGAAGCGGTAGTTGCCGTACACGATGAAGGCACCGGCCATGGCACCGAGAATCTGGGCGAGGGCATAGACGGGAAACTTGCGCCAGGGGTGGCCACGGTAGATGCAGTTGGAGAGAGTGACGGCAGGGTTGAGATGGCCGCCGGTCTTGCCAGCAACGTAGATGCCGAGCATGACACCCAATCTACACAAGAAGGTCAGTCAGTACGGTTTCTCACATGTCATCATAAGCCTTCCCTTGCTGCCCAGTGGCAGGCAATGAAGGACGTCCCGAAGGAAGCGAGACTTACCCCCATCCCCAAGAGATGCTCTGGTAGTCGCCCTTGGTGCCGTTGGAGAGGACAACCTGGGCCACGACACCATCACCGAAGAGGATCAGGACCATGGTGCCGAAAAACTCAGAGAAGAACTCCTGGCCATACTCGCGGACCTTGCTCCACCACAGCTCATTCCTGTGCTCCTCGTGGGTGACGGAGGGCTCGGAGCTGGCTCCGGCGTGCTCGGTGTGGGCGTCGGCACCCATTTCGGGTTTCCGGTGATAAGTTGACTTGTCGATCGACGACTCGGACTGGGAATCTTGTGACACGACCAGGGACATTAGTTCGGATGTCTCGCGGCGAGATGACGAAGAGAGTCGAGACAAGCAAACGACAAAATGTCGACGCGGGGTACGGGGAAAGGGAGAAGGAGGGGAGGCTGAGATGAGATGAAGGAGAGGGATGGGTGGCAAGGGGCTGTCTCCAAACTCTCAACTCCATGGGGACGGGGCACTCTTATGTCCTGTCACTCAAGATCTCCCCCCGCGGGGCGGGGTCGTCTGCCCAATCCGTCGGGTTGGATGTCACGGACGGGGACACCGGAGAGGGGCAAAGGGCAGAAGGGGCCGTGGTGCGAGATTGGGGACAGACTTGGGGAAAGGCAAACCCGCTTACCCATTTCGCGATGCTTCTCCTTCTTCTCGGTGGACCTTGCGAAGGCGAGCGCATATCCCCGGGATGCTGGTCGCCGCTTGGGGATGAAGCTTAAGAAGCTGGGGGAGGTCTGTAAGGGGCGAGACCTTGGGATGGAGCCCTTGGAGGAGACCTTGGATGGAATGAGATGGGATGGACCAGCGGGCAAGCTGGAACACGAAGGGCGCCCGAGGCACGAACGGCTTGACCGGTTCGCATGCGCACGAGGGAGACACGAGGTAAGGGGGGGGGGGGGCGGGGTGGTTTGAGATGAGATGCGGTGGTTGAAGACCGAAAACCACACCGTCGGTATTGGAGTAGCGAGTAAGTGGTACGATGGTCAAGGGGTATGGGGGACAGCGTCAAGGTAGGCGCAGTGGGTTGATAGCGAGATGATAGCGAGCAATGTGATGGTGCGAGGGGAAAGAATGAAGGATTCCTATGAAAAAGGCTCCGGCGGATGAAGAAGTTGGTTGAGCGGAGCCCTGCAAGTTCGGGCCCTACACCGAGAAGATCGGGGTGACGATGACGGGTGGATGCCGAGGCCAAGGGAATCCTTCTAACAAGCGCTTGCACGCGCCCCGGTGCTTCCAGAGTAAAGCAAAGGACGTTGTAGATCAGAGGTCCGGCGCCCGCGCAGACTCCGCCCTACGCCATTCAATACCCCATTCAGCAGCAGCAGAAAAACTCCCCGGCAGAGTGAGAGCGAGCCGCACAGAAACATCCACTTTCAAGGTTGATATGACATGGCGCGGCACGAGTCAAAGGCACCGAACGCCCCCAATCGACAGAGCAAAGAGAAAGGTGGCGGCTTGCCCAGGCCGCGGTCCCCGTACCGTAGCAACCAACGCCATGCTGCGGCAGCGCGGACATCATTACATGGTTGCACAGTAGTTCGAGCCGACCAGACCAGGAGCACCCTAGCAGCGGCCGCAAAGAGCATTCATGGGCTTCAAGGCCTCAGAACATCATGGCGCTTGTGGTAGAGCAGGTGACCAGATTGGCCAATGCAGGCAAGGCAAGACGGAGTGCCGAACCGCATGGCCCCATCATCCCGAGGTGCATGAGGTTGGAATGAGGTAAGCTTCTAGGGTCTTTCCAATGTGTGGGGAAGAAGCGATCCGCTCGGTTGAGAGTTGCCGTTTTCGTCAGGTGGCGTCGCCTGGTAGGGGGGTGAGACTGGGCTAGAAATAGATGGGTGGGTTGCAGTTGGCATACAAGCTCCGATGCACGACGCCGCCAAGGAGTATGACGGTATAGTTGGTGCCACGAAGACGGCTGGCCTGACGAGCAACTTGGCTGACGAGCCAGTTCCTCGTCCAATTCGTCTACTGCGATGAGGCCTACAGAGCAAGAGTTTAGTGGAAGAAAGGAGGGGTTGGCGTCTCGTCTCCCCAGTCAGAATCATCATGGACAACAGGTCCCCCTTCCACCCCAAAATCAGCCCCTATCAACCAAATTCCACGACACCCCAGCAGACCCAGATAAGATCCATTGCTCCAGCTGGGCATGACAAGTTGGTCGGCACAAGTGGCGTTTTCGGCTCTTCGGCGCCGTTATGGAGCCTCTAGTTATCTCGATGGATCGCAAGTTTTGTCAACCAGGTGGGTTTGAAGGACCCCTCCAGCCATCTCGCAATCCTTCAGGTGACAAGAAAAATGCCAGACTTGGCGAGACGACCGAGCAGGCACCATCCTGTGACGGGAAAAGGGGGGGCGGGTTTTTTTGGGGCAAAATTTTGGCCCCCCCCCACCTTTTGGTGCCAAAGGGGGGGTGTAAAAAAAAGGGGGAAATTGGGGGGGGGGGCCGCCTTTTAAATATTAAATTAAAAAAAAGCCCCCCCCCCCCCCCCCCCCCCCGATGACGTGGTCCACTTGCTGGATCCAGACACCAAGCCGCGATGGGTGCGACTCCAGATGCGGGCAGCGCACATCTTGTTGGTGCGCGCGAGGTTGGGAAAATTGATTGAGTGACAAGGAGCCACGAAGATCTGCATGGCACAGAGTCAACCACAATGTCGGCAGCTCAAAACGGTCATGGCGTCAGATGATGAGAGTCTCGTGTGTGACGAGGGGCAGGGGGGGAGCAGGCGATTGAAGGGGCCTCGGGTGGGAGGCTTGGTCAGAAAGGCTTTCTTGCACCCCTCGGCCATGCCAAAGACGCTGCAGCTGAAAGAGGAGGATGGTCGGAGATATGGTTCAAGAGAAAAAATCCACTTTCACAAGACAGTAGGCTGGCTTCGGCGTTTCTGCCAAGCGATGCGCAGCCCAGTGTAAGAGGAGAATTCGTATTCGTCGCAACTTGCGAAGGAGGACATGTTTCTTCAGCACGGCAGGCTGGCTCATCCCTGCTCGCACGGCACGGCCGACAATGTGGGCTGGATTCAGAGAACGAACGGACCGCCGGGGGAAAACAAAAGAAAAAAAAAGGAGACTGGAGACACCGGAGTCAAGCGACCGGGATAGCGCCGACCGTCTTCAGCAAGGAGGACAGAGTCTGGGCACAGGGCCGGTGTCGTTGACCGAACGCAGCCCGAGCCGAGGTGGCGGTGGGAGTGGCGCTTCCATGACATCAGCCTACAAGGCGCGAGATGAACCCGAGATGCACCGCGCCGGGGGAGCTACCGGGCCACACGGATACCCCACACGCCCTGTATGCTCGGGGTTTTACCCCGACCAGGGCCCAGCGCCTCTTGTCAGACAGTCTGACAGGACAACGAACTCCTCTGTGCCCATGTTCCATCTGACGGGTCCGCACGAGCCAGATGCAGGCCACGAGGAAATCTCAATGAAGCTCGTGATCGACCGACTTTGACGCATTGTCCATTGTTAGCCCAGCGGACCCAGCGAACTGGATCTTGTCAGCTCACCAAGACCCGGCGTGTTGGCTAAAGCGGGCCAGCACTGGAGGGAGGAGGCTCCCATCCCACGGCCTCTGGGGGAAGGCTGCAGGCAGTTCCCCTCCCAACCCTTGAGCTCCAGGGCACAGGGGTTGGCTAACAGGTACCAGTACGGGGTTGCAGGGGCCTGCACCCCCAAAAAGCAACCCCCCAATCGTCTCGTGGGAACGTGGAAAGGCTCATGGATCAACCATCCATCACATGGAAGTGACACCATGTTCTCCACAATCGCGGGGAGGGGCTTGAGGGAAGGGGGGGGGACTTGGGGTGCTGAATCGGGGGGGAAGAGAGATGCGATGC